TGAAGACCCAGGAGGACATATGAGGACACGTGAAGACCCAGGAGGACATGTGAAGACCCAGGACATGTGAAGACACAGGAGAACATGTGAAGACACAGGAGAACATGTGAAGACACAGGAGGACACACAAAGACCCAGGACACATGAAGACACGTGAGGACATGTGAAGACACATGAAGACACGTGAGGACCCAGGAGGACACATGAGGACATGTGAGAACACATGAAGACACGTGTCCTCTGCAGTAAGATAATGTGTGTGTGTCTCACTGAGGATGTTGAGGACAGAGTCTTTCCTGAACATCACCAGGTTCCCCATCATCACGTGACACATCAGCTCCTGTAACTATAGAGTTTACATCCTGGTTACTGAACAGGTGATCCGGGTCATGAAGGTCTGGATCAGGTCTTTGGTCGCAGACTCACTCACCTGTGTGGAGTCGATGACGGCCACGATCATGTTGAGCAGCTCACCGCTCCTCAACGTCTCATCTGGGAACTGAAGGGACACGTTCACAAGACCCGAGACCTCAAGAGACCTCGAGAGACCCCAGGAGACCTGGAAGAGACCTCAAGAGATCTCAGGAGACCTCGAGGGACCTCAGGAGACCTCGAGAGACCTCAAGGGACCTCAGGAGGCCTTGACACAGGATGGTATACGTACCTCAGAATATATAGAGGGCGTTAGGTAGCAGAGCAGTCGGACGTCGTCCTCTTGACACGCCTTCATGTCCATCATCAGACAGGTGTGCAGATCACCGAGAGCCGTCGCCTGAGCAAAGGACTCGTACAGCATCATCTTACCGTTGGCTGCTTTACTGCTCTCTCACACACACACACACACACACACACACACACGCACACACACGTTAAACATCATGTTTCTCATCATGGTAGCACTAGGAAGTTGCTAGTTAGCCAGCCTGCTAACTCCAGAAAAATGAGCCATACACAGTTGCGACTCGTCTGTTGATAGCAGTGATCTTTCCTTGGTGAAGCATTAAGTTGTTAACTCTTCGTATCGTTGCTACTCTGCTCCTTTTAGTCCTTACTGTCCTCGTGTACTTCTATGGACGACCCCTTCATATTGGGACACACCCCGGGTCTCACCTGGCTTTGAGGTAGTACAGCAGGTGATACCCGATCTTGGGTTGTTTCTGGTAGAATTCAGCCAACATGTCGAGCAGCACGGAGAATCCACTGTTATCCTCCTGCATGGTGACCAGGTTCCTGAAGACCAGGCAGACGGGTTTGGACACCGACTCCTCCAGGGACCTGAGAGACAGACAGGTAATCAGAGAGACAGACAGACAGACGGGTTCTTAAAGTTATTAGACCTTTTATCCCTCCAAACATATGTTGCTTCGTGGTGGTTTTTGGGCCTCTTCGTGGTGGTTTCGAGACTCTTCGTGGTGGTTTTCGAGACTCTTCGTGGTGGTTTTTCGAGACTCTTCGTGGTGGTTTTCGAGACTTTTTGGTGGTTTTTAGGCCTCTTCGTGGTGGTTTAAAATGGGCCTCTTTGTGGTGGTTTAAAATGGGCCTCTTCGTGGTGGTTTAAAATGGGCCTCTTCGTGGTGGTTTAAAATGGGCCTCTCCGTGGTGGTTTAAAATGGGCCTCTCCGTGGTGGTTTTTCGAGACTCTTTGTGGTGGTTTTTCGAGACCCTTTGTGGTGGTTTTTCGAGACTCTTCGTGGTGGTTTTTGGGCCTCTTCATGGTGGTTTTCGAGATAGTTTGTGAGTGAAGGACTTTTTGTGACTTCTTTAGGACTAACACTAACCCTTTAATCCCGATGAAATATGGATATTCCTGAATGTATTTTAGTCTCGAGATACCTATAATCAATGAAATGTTAACAGTCTTACTCCTCAGTGATCTCATCTGGCAGGACGTCTCCTCTGAAGTGATCTTTAAACAGTTCAGCCAGACAAGAAGCCAGACCAGACATCTGCTCCGAGTCAAAGTCCTCCTGCAACACCGCACAGAGAGTAAGACACAGTAGAACATAGTAAAACAAGGCAGTACACAGTAGAACACAGTAAAACACAGTAGAAAATAGTAGTACACAGACTGATCTAACAACTCACCTCCAGGATCAGATCCACGATTTCCTGCATCACTTCACACTGAGTCTCTGTGTCACTGAGGAGACATAATCAACAAGTATTACTGATCAATAAACACTGAGGACCCATAATTAATAAGTATTACTGATCAATAAACACTGAGGAGACATAACCAATAAGTATTACTGATCAATAAATGATCACCTGGTCTTCTGCAGCTGCTGGACTTTCTCCTTCATGGTGTCGTCTAATTGGTCGATCCACGGTGTGACGTCAGCGGGCTCCTCCACCACAGCTTCTTTGATTGGATGAAACCTGAACTCCCTCTTCTTGCCTGCACAGTGATTGGTCGAGAGACGGTCAGATAGCATTCAGCTGCAGACTCACTCAGGCTATAGTGGTTACAGTGGCTATAGTGGTTACAGTGGCTATAGTGG